TGTGTTATATGTACATGTACTGGCCCATAATGTAAACTGTTCTCCTTACACTGGATCATGTCCAAAACCTTGAAAGCTGCTGGCCTAGCTGATTTACTTACATGACAATACAAGTGTTTACTGCTTCCTTATAAATTTTAGGGACCCCCTGAAAAGCTCCTATACCCTTAAACCAGGAATAGCATGGAATAAGAAATGATTTTTCCAACTATAAGTTGCTCAATATAGACAGATGCCTGAGCCAAGTCTCACGAGCAATCTGAATATAGTTTCATGTCAGTGGCTCCCAAATGGATAAATGTAATAAATACAATTAAAAGACTATAAGCAGAATATAAAATGGTTCGGTCACTGTGGAAAAGTTTGGTCATTTCTCAAAATTTAAATAGAGAATTACCACATGACCCCTCAATTCCATTCCTAGGTATTATCTCTAAGACTTGAAAACAAAGACTCAAACAAGTACATGTATCCACATGTTCACAGCAGCTCTATTCACAAAAGCCAAAAGGTAGAAACAATTTAAATGCCCATTAGTGAATGAATGGATAAACCAATTGTGTTGTATGTGGAATATTTTTCTATCATAAAAAGGAATGAGGTTCTAATACATGCTACAATATGGATGAACCTCCAAGACTTTACACTAAGGGAAAGAAGCTGGACCCAAAAGACCACTTGTTGTATGATCTCATTTATACGAAATATCCGGAAGAGGTAATTCCGTAGAGACAAAACACAGATTGGTGATTGCCGGGAGCTGGGAACTGTAGCACACGTATAAGCTGCTTAATGAATAAGGGATTTTACTTTAGAGTGATGGAAATGTTTTGGAACTAGATAAAGACACTGGTTGCACAAAATCGTGAATGTAATTTATGCCACTGAACTGTTCCCCTTAAAATGGTTAACTTTGTGTTATGTGAAATTTACTTAACTAAACTGTTAATAATTAAGAACCTATAGGCAGATGTAAAGACTAGTTATACAAATTCTAGAATCTGGAGGGCAAATATTACTCAGGATATAGAAACTGAAAAAAAAAGGGTTATTTTCATTTTGCCTCAAAAAAATTTTTAAAAGAGGTTCATATAGAGAGTAAATAGTTCTTATTAACTAAATCAGAAGCCAGAGGTAAAAATAAACTGTACACAATTCTGAGCCACATCTCTGAGAGAAAATTGACACGTATTTTTTAAGAAAAATCTTAAAAGGACTTCCCTGGTGGTCCGACAGTGGCTAAAACTCCAAGCTTCCAGTGCAGAGGGGCCTGGTTTCGACCCCTGGTTGGGGAACTATATCCCACATGCTTCAACTAAGAACTGGCACAGCCAAACAAATGAATTCTTAAAAAAATCTTAAAAAAATTAAAATTCAGCATGAGAAAACATTATTCTTAAATATAACGAAGGAAATAAGGAAGGAAGTGAGAACTTTTAGACAGAACTTTGTACTTGAAGTTAGGAGAAAGTAAATCAGTCTTCTGGTTTTCAGTTTATGTATCTTCTCTTCAAGCAAAAAAAGGTGGGGGGCTCGGGGAGATGTGGGGAGATGATGTGAAGCTACTACTTCTCTCTTCCCTTGGAGGAAATTATTATTATTATGTTTATTACAGTACACATCTGCCTTTGGAGAGAGTTCACTAGAGGCATCATGGCACAGGCAGGATAACCTCTTTCAGGGGTATGCTATGGTATGCTATGCTATGGTTTTTCGAACTTTCTCTAGGCTGCTAGAGTGAGGGAGCGGTGGGAGAGAAAAGGGGAGATGGAGCTGTTGATGTCCCAAGCCTCTATGCCCACTTCACTCAGAAGAGGTTTGATTTTTACCTTTTAAATATTGGGGTTTTACATTAAGATTTCACTTGGAAAAAAAGATTCAGCTGCTGAAGAAATATTTGAAAACCACTGGACTGGATCACGGAGAAGGCAATGGCAACCCACTCCAGTACTCTTGCCTGGAAAATCCCATGGGCAGAGGAGCCTGGTGGGCAGCAGTCCATGGGGTCGCCAAGAGTCAGACACGACTGAGCGACTTCACTTTCACTCTTCTCTTTCATGCATTGGAGAAGGAAACGGCAGCCCACTCCAATGTTCTTGCCTGGAGAATCCCAGGGACAGCGGCGGAGTCTGGTGGGCTGCCGTCTATAGGGTTGCACAGAGTCGGACACGACTGAAGCGACTTAGCAGCAGCAGCAGGACTGGATCAAGGATTCCTAAACCTGGTAGCTCAAAAGAATGACTAAAAGAGCTTTTTCAAATTACAAATTTTCGGGCCATACCTGCAAAACTAGTGAAATAACTCCCAAGGGATTCTTGTGCAGTAGCCCTAAGCTAGCCCATAGTGTTTTAGAGGCACTGAACCAGATGACCTTTGCTTCCCTGAGTGCCTATGACAAAACAGAACTTAAAAGGGCAGGCAGGAATCTTGGGCAAAAGAGTTGATGGTAGCAAATAGAAAATGAGATGTAGACAACTAAATAACTAGAGTCTACCGACAAACACAAATACCAACAACCAAAAACATTTGGCAGACAAAGAGCTTGCCTAGGACCAGAAGTTCCTCTGGAGGTTTAACTGCTTGGCAATTATTTCATAGCCTGTTATAACTATCCAAATTGGTGAGATAGTCAAAATGGTTTAACTCAGCAACAAGAAAGTATAATGTCAGCCAAATATATAATTTAAAATTTTTTAGTAGCCATATTAAAAAAAAGTGAAAAGAAATAAAATTAATTTAAATAATATTCTTTAGCTCAATATATCCAAAATAATATCATTCTAACATTTAATTAAGTACAAAAATTACTAGTGAAATATTTCATAATTTATTTGTATTCAGTCTTCAAAATGTTACAGCACACCTCAATTCAGACTAACTAGGTTTCAAATGCTCAACTACCACATGTGGGTAGCAGCCACCATATTGTATAATGCAGGACTAATTAGTAAAAAGTCAATCTATTTCACTTGAAAATTGATATCCTGTTTCAATATAGAAAGTGCTTACTTTCCCAGCCCTAGAGGTCCTGCACCCAAGGCTGAGTAACAATTTTGTCTGCAGATGTTATACCCAGCCTCTTATCTTCAGACCTGACCCCTCTCTCTCCTCCTAGCAGAGGAATCTGTGTTCTGGACATTTTTCTTAGAATGTCTGGCTCCCAAAACCTATTCAAAATATCTAAAACAAAATGCAACATCTTTATTCCAAAATAAAAAATCAATTTACTGTTATTTTGCCAAATTCCTATATCTGTTATGAGTATTCATATGTGGACATGTTTTCCTTTATTTTGGTAAATACCTGGGAGTGGATGGAATTGCTGTGTCATACGCTAAGTGTATATTTACCTTTATAAGAAACCACCTGTTTGATATAGAGAACAAACTAGTGTTCTAGTAGGGGAGTGGTTACCAGGGGGGGAGCCAGAAGGAGGGGTAGGATTAAGAAGTACAAACTATTGTGTATAAAGTAAGCTACAAGGATATATTGTACAACACAGAATATAGCCAATATTTTATAACTATAAATGGAGGATAACATTTAAAAATTGTGAATCGCTATATTTTACACCTGTAACTTATATAATATTGTACATCAACTATTAGTTCAATTTAAAAAAAAGAAAATAAACCATGTGTTTTCTTCTAATATATATATATATTTTTTAAAAATCAATTTACCTCTTGATTTTCCTATTTCTGTTAGTCATTTGGGATCAAACCTTCAGAGTCAAATGTTTCCTTTTCCTTTATTACAAAAGCACCAAGTTCTACTTTTTCTTTCCTTACAACCTCTCATTGGCCCTTTCCTGCTTCTAGTTATACCTGCTGATCTCTATTATATGTAACAGTATATACTGTTAACCAAATACTTAATATACCATGTATAATGAATGCCATTTCGCTTCAGGGACTCTGTCATACCTTTCACTTCAGGTGTGAATTTAAGACCACACAATCTTGCTCCCACCCCTACATCTGGTCTATTATCATTCCAACTTTATCATTTTCCAATCTCCTAAAAAAGCCTTTATTTTAGGCAAACTATCCTGTTCTCCTAAATAGGCCTTATACTTCCTCATCTAGGTGGGTATGGCTTTCCACCCACCTGGAATGCCCCTACTCCTGCTTTACATTAAGTCATTATTCCACAAATATTTATGTGCCTGGCACTGTACTGGGTACTGAAGAAAGAATAAATATCTCAGTTTCTCCAATTAAACCTTCCTTAATATGTCAATTATACCTCAATAAAGCTGAAACTAAAAAAAAAAAAAAACCACAACTTCTTGACTATGCCAAAATAGAAGTGATTCTGCACTGGTGAGCTGTTCTTATATGGAACTAGGCCTTGTAAGAATACACTGAGCCCTTGTAATTTGCTGCTTTGTATTCCCAATTATCAGTTTTCTTTATAAATACCAGTCTATCATCACAAACAGAGGAGTGGATTTCCTAAAAGCACAAATTAGGGTCAAATCAGTGTGTTCTCCCTGGTGCTTAGCTGTAAAAGAGACAAGTGGAGGGCTCTACATAGAAAAGAAGCCCCTTCAGTGATATGCTGCAAAATCAGGATCAGAAGTGAGCAGGGAGGGCCTGCAAAAACCCAAAGAAATTCAGAACTGGCAACACTTAAGTAAGGATCCAGATCCTTACTTGCACTAGTGGTAAAAGAACCCAACTGACAATGCAGGAGATGTAGGTTCAATCCCTGTGTCGGGAAGAACCCCTGGAGGAGGACCTGGCAACCCACTCCAGTATTCTTGCCTGGAAAATCCCACAGACAGAGGAGCCTGGCAGGCTACTGTCCATAGAGTTGCAGAGTCTAATACAACTGAAGTGACTTGGCATACATAGAAGTTAGGATCAATTACCCTGGCTTTTAGACTTCAACAACATAGGGTTGAGTTTTAAAAATCTTTTTCTGGCACTAAATGAAAATAACACTGGTGACACTTAATGTACATACATTATATCACACCTAAAAAGATAACTCACCACATGTTATGTTCAAAAACTTTTGTTGGATCAGTTAAAATCCTTGATCCCAGAGGGGCCACTGGGTGACAACCACTTTGGTATCTGTGAGGTACTTTTCTTATCCTTGGACAGGAAATATAATTTCTCCAAATCACATTCATCCTAATCAGTACCTGGAAAGTTTCAAACAATTTATTAGTCAATACGGATTAAACAATGTATTATTTACCTGAGCCAAAAACTGGTGTAAAAGAATGACAAACTGAGAAACGACATGAAAACTAACCACTTTTAAATGAAAGATGGGCATGGTAGCTTCTCTCCTGAAGTATTTAGACTTAAGAGAAAGGAAAAGAGTATCTGGAGTGTGCAACACTATCTGGCATTCTTTATAAGTCACAGCCTTGACCAACTTCGTTCTGTTTGGTATTTGCTTATATAACTCTTAGCACATGGCCAAAGCATGAAAGCCCAGAATCTGGATTTGGTATATTAAAAAGTTTTTTAAAGTTATAATTTTGCTTTGGGAATTCTATGCAAATGTATTTCTGGGAAATATTTGATGACCACTAGACCAAAAACCCAAGTAGAGGAGCAAAATAAGAAACAAACATTAATCTCATTCTCTGGGTTGAGCTGAACAATATACACACTGGTAAAATAAACAAGTAAATACTATATTAAGATCCCATCAGTTAATTCTAACAATCATAACACATACGTACATTTTTAAAGAATCATCATCAATACATCTGCAAAATAGATTTCCCTGTACAAACAGCATGCTTAAATCCCAGCTCAAAAGGAGAAATATCATTTGATTAGCCAAATCTATCTCCATTTCTGGAGAAAAACTTAAACATTTAAAAAGTATGTTACTTTAATTATGTACCAGCATATATGTCAGCTTAAAATCTTTATGGAAAAGTATTAAAATAAGCTCTCTCGAGCTTATTTTTTTCTAGTAAGAATCCATTGTAACACTGCTTGGCATTTCACCCTCATTTAGTTGTTCATTACAACATTCAGCCAAATGCTGTAAGCTGTCAGGTAGAAACAGATGTTAAAAGGTGTGTATATATAATATGCATCGAGTACTATCCAAAGTGCTATCAGGCATAAAAGTGACATGTATTGTACACCCTTTACCACCTTATGAAAGTCAATAGGTTTTAAGACTGTGAATTCCAAAACAAACTGCAGAACGTCAAAAACATCTCATAGTGCTTTTAAACATAAAATTCAAGATATTCTTTCCAGAAAAAAAAGGCTTAGTTATACACACCAAAAAGACTGCAATGATTCCATTTAAATGCAACTAACAGTGATGAGAAATGAAACATTCAATAGCTAGTGCAGATTTTCTGTTTCTTATTTGTTTTTCCTTCTCCTCTAAATAGAAGCTCTTTGGTGAGGCAAATGAAATCAAATGCCCCACCTACCACTACCTTTCCTCTGCTGTGCCTTTGTTCTTTTCTCTTGCCACTGCTCTACAGAAGACTAACAGAATCCTACCAGCACAATTATTTTTAGAGCTCTCTTTCTGCACTGAATATTATTCATAAAATCTTCCGTATGCTGAAGAGCAGAAGTGGATTACACCTAGAAAAAGAGGCAATTCATGTTCAAAAGTATAAAATGATGTAAATGTTTCTGCCCAGGAAAGCAAAATCAAAGTGAAATTTCAATCCTTCAAATAATCATGTGATACTTATCTGTATCTACTATATATAGAAAAGGAAGAGAGGGGGGAAAAAAAGATATGAGTTTCTCTCACTATAAATGACCAGGAACCTCTATAGACAGCTGGAGACAAAAAGCTATAACCAGATTGGGTATTAGGCAATTCAGGAAAATGTCAGAGAAGCGTGTGCCTTGCAGACTGCTAGTCCATAGAAAAAACATGATGTGGCCAGCTCCTAAACATGTGGCAATTTGTCCTGCTTAGGCAGCTGCTTCTCTGATTAACCACAGAAACATCTATTTCATTTATGTATTATCTGCAACAATCTTGCATTGCTCTGTATCTTGATTATATAAATATACAGTGCATTCATGTGCATGCTGTCACTTCAGTCGTGTCTGACTTCCTGTGACTTGATGGGCCATAGCCCGCCAGGTTCCTCTGTCCAGGGGATTCTCCTATCTCCTTGGGATACTGGAGTGTGTTGTCATACCCTCCTTCAGGGGATCTCTTCAACCCAGTGATCGAACCTGTGTGTATTACTTCTCCTGCACTGGGAGGCGGGTTCTTTACCACTAGAGCCACCTCAGTTCAGTTCAGTTCAGTTACTCAGTCGTGTCCGACTCTTTGCGACCCCATAAATCACAGCATGCCAGGCCTCCCTGTCCATCACCAACTCCCGGAGTTTACTCAAACTCATGTCCATCGAGTCGGTGATGCCAGCCAGCCATCTCATCCTCTGTCGTCCCCTTTTCTTCCTGCCCCCAATCCCTCCCAGCATCAGGGTCTTTTCCAA